GCTGACCTTCAACAAGAGCAACCTGGGTCAAAATCCCTATTCAGCCACATGCATTTCAGTCCTTGCAAACAAACAAATATCTGTTTGTCATGGGGCACCAGTAGGCTATCCATGGCCTGCATGCAGCTCACAGAGGTCAACTGCCACCAAACTCACTCCTCACCCTGTGCTCCCTAAGCCCAAAAAACAGCTGCTATAGGGGTCAGCAAACCTTTCCAGCAGGGGCCAGTCCGCCATCCCTCAGACCTTGGGGGCAGACGGCGGACTATATTTTGAAAAATAACAATGAATGAATTCCTATGCCCCACAAATAACCCAGAGGTGCATTTTAAATAAAAGGACACAATCTACTCATGTAAAAACACACTGATTCCTGGACTGTCTGTGGGCCAGATTTAAAAGGTGATTGGGCTGGATCTGGCCCCCAGGCCTTAGTTTTCCTACCCATGGATTGGGAGGAACACAATTTACATGGGAAGAAGGATACATTCCCTATCTGTTCCATGCATCAATCAGTGGGGAAGGAAGAAGTTGATGATGGGATAGCCCTCATGGCTAAAAAGTTATCCACCCCTGCTATAGGAGATTAAAAGCACTGACAACAATGCTTTTAAAATGCATTTCTTTATTTTCGGTCAAATTTTGAATTTAGCCAGCAAGGCCTGTGAATCTTGTCTTCTTGCTCTACGAATCTTAATTTCCTTTCACAAATAAAGATTCCAAGAGTTGAACACTGATCTAGACAGAAAGAAGCTGGCACATGCTTGGGTCCTTACAAAAATGGACATCAAATATTACCGTTTTCAATTAGCAATAATCATGCCTTGGGTGAACCTCATTTTACATCACCTCACAATATGGAGGACAATGAAAGCAGTTGATCAAATGTTGACTAGTGAACATATACATGAATATGTGAACTGGCCAGTAAGAGTCCTTTTTAACAGCCTACAAAAATGAGCTGGAGGGCACAAATGGAAATAATGTAATGGAAATAAGAATGAAATCCTATCTTAGGTACATTTACTCAGACGTGAGTTCAATGGGGCTTGCTTTCAGGTAAGTAGCTATAGCACTGCAGCCCAAGTTTAATATACCTAAATGAATGCAGAATTATTGGCTATTACATGAAGCATTTTATCTGTTGTCCTCTTTTCTCACAAAAGCATTCTAATATCTCCAAAATACATCTTTCTTTCAAAGCACTAGAAAACTCATTTTAATTACTGTTTTTTAAAGAGCAAATCTCTTATTAAAGTATGTATAAGTAATTCTAACTAAATGTGACAGGAAAATTGGCAAGACTGCACATGTGTGCACATACTACTTTGTGCTATGGAATAATCAATATAGCTAATTCAGGTCTTATAGTATTTGCTTAATTGATTGGTTCAAAATAAGCTCCAGCAATTGACATTGTAAGTCAGGAAGGGCCTTCTTGGATACATTAACATTGCGTTCTTGGACACCTGTTGAATTCTTCATTTTGTCCTATTGCACAGCACATATATATATACAGTGGTACCTTGGTTCTCAAACGTAATCCGTTCCGGAAGTCAGGTTTCTGAAACATTCGAAAACCGAGGCATGGCTTCCCATTGGTTGCAAGAGCTTCTTGTACTCAGTGGAAGCCGCATCACACGTTCAAGTTCTGAAAAACGTTCAAAAACGGAAGCATTTTTGGCATTTGATAACCAAAATGTTTGACAATGGAGGCGTTCGGTAACCGAGGTACCACTGTATTCCCATTGGGAGAGGGCTCTTTCTCTGTCTTGCAATTTCCTTCATAGGGGCAGAGTCATCATTAAGCCTTGTATGGTGCTGGATAACACCCTCCAGGCCCTATAATTTTCAACAAACCCCAGATATTTGTGAAGATAAAAGGCTTGGCAGGTCAGGAAGTACACAAGGTCAACATTTCAGAGGCTGCATGCTCAATGGAAAATGACACTATTCTTAGCAAGATTTAGTTAGGATTAAAACACATATCCCTTGAACATTAATACCTTTTAAGAGAAGTTGTGGTTTCTTTTTTCTCTCATATTAACTAAAAAATGGACTCAGCTACACAGGTCAATTATAACGTTAAAATGTATTATAAAATGTGACACCAGGGGGCGTTGTACAGCAATCAAGGTAAATTTGCTTTGAGAACTATATAACTGTTCTTTTCTTAGCATTTTTTTAGATCCGGGTAGTTCTAGCCAATGTTGTCAATAGGCAAGTCACTCATATAGTCTCACTTTTCATTTCTTTCCTTTTAAACAACAACTTTTGTGACTCTGGCAAGAATGTCTGGTGCATAGTTTGATTTAACAGCAGCTTTTCCTGACGCAAATTGTAGCTTCAAAAGAAGCATTTTTGCTCAGGACTGCAGAAAGGAAGAAAGTGGTTAAATTGCCCCTCCATATTTGCTGTGATCTCGAGAATTATATTAAAATAAATAGCTGAACTGATGCTGTTTGCGTTTGTTTTAAAACTTGTGCATTAAATGCAAAGATTTGTTCAATGTTATGTCTAGTGCAGCCCTTATGTGAGCCTAACTCAGACTTCCTAAGTACAGTGGTACCTTGGGTTACAGACGCTGGAATAAAAGACAGGGAAAGAGGTGTTGTGAAGCGATGGTAAATTCACCTTCCTGATATGACAGAGCCCATAACAAAGCACAAATGTCTGGGGAGCACTGTGGCTGCCTATTCTTGTGGAGATTGCACTGCTCTTCCATGGTTGTAGAACCATGATAGCACCATAAGAAGCCAGTGAGCCAAAGAGTGGTGATTCCCATATCTGGGAACTGTTTGGCACAAAGGGATTCTGCCTCTCTTGTTTACAAGTACAGTGGTACCTCGGGTTACAGACGCTTCAGGTTACAGACTCTGCTAACCCAGAAATAGTACCTTGGGTTAAGAACTTTGCTTCTTAACAAACAGAACAGAAATTGTGTGGTGATGGTGCGGTGGCAGCGGGAGGCCCCATTAGCTAAAGTGGTACCTCAGGTTAAGAACAGTTTCAGGTTAAGAACAGACCTCCAGAACGAATTAAGTTCTTAACCAAAGGTACCACTGTAGTAAATAATATAGTTTCTTTGGGAAATGGAATGGAAGAGATAAACTGTTCTTATCCACTTATGTGCCCAGGCACCACATCACCTGCTGCCCTGTCTCACGTAGAGTAACCAGACAAGACAACATACCTCAGGTCAAATAATGCCATAATTTTTATCTATTACAGATGTAAGAGGTTTGGCATACACATTGGGGACAACCATTGACCTCCAGCCTGCCTGCTGGAAGTATTTCCTGTTGGGTCAGCCCGGAAGAGAGGGAGCCTATGACTTACATCAAATAGGAACACCCTCGCAGGATTGCTGCCTTGAGGAGTGCTGTGGCCCTACCTGAGCATCTAGACAGAAGCAACTCCTCCCAAATGCCTATAATGGGGTACCCTTTCCTTCAGAGGAGCAGGCAGAGGCTACAACCTTCCCTCCGACCAAGACCAAGGCCCATCCAATGCCAAACCACCCAAAGTTGTGACAGTTGCTATGAGGCAGACAAAACCACCAGGCGAGAGCCAACTGGCCTAGTGGGAAATTCCTGCCTGGCCTCACATGCAGCAAGCAACAAAATCCATAGCAAGCCCAAGCACAGAAAACATAAATAACACAAAGAGAAGGAAGGAGAAAGTAACAAAACTTACTGAACGCTGTTGTTTTATGAACGTTCTGGAAGAGAGGTCGAGAGACAGATTTGTGTGTGGAGGAGCTGTTGATTTAAAAAACGCAAAAGCAATTATTGGCCGATGGGGAGCTGACCTGAGACAAAACTATAAAGGTGGCAACTGCCATGGAAGCAGCTGTGAAACAGTTATAGGATTTGCATCTTGACAATTAAACAAAGCTCAGAATGAGTGTATAAACCAAGTGCAGGACTCACAACAAAGGTTTTGGAATCTGGGTGGGTGTTTTCATTGTGGAGGAATGCATTCAGTTTCTGTATGTAAACAGAGAATGTCCCACTGCTATAAATCTTATTCTTTCTTCTTTGGTGATCACTTGTAACCAAGTAAGATTGTCTACACCAGATCCAGCTAAATGCCCAGTTTTTCCTGTAACTTTACACTGGCTTAACTTACTCCAACTTGCTTTATGTCAGGTTCTTGAGCATTGGACTGGTCCCTTAAATATTGTCTCCAGTTATTATTGCTTATTCTTGTGCTTTTCCTATCCAGCTTTGAGCTACCCTGCTCATCAACTAACAACCTCTTAAAGGGTAAAGGGACCCCTGACCATTAGGTCCAGTCACGGACGACTCTGGGGTTGTGGCGCTCATCTCGCTTTATTGGCCGAGGGAGCTGGTGTACAGCTTCCAGGTCATGTGGCTAGAATGACTAAGCCACTTCTGGCGAACCAGAGCATCACACAGAAATGCCGTTTACCTTCCCACCGGAGTGGTACCTATTTATCTACTTGCACTTTGACGTGCTTTCGAACTGCTAGGTTGGCAGGGGCAGGGACCGAGCAACGGGAGCTCACCCCGTCATGGGGATTCGAACCACCGACCTTCTGATCGGCAAGCCCAAGTGGCTCAGTGGTTTAACCCACAATGCCACCCGCATCCCAACAACCTCTTATTCTGGGCCTATAAATTGAGTAACCATGCTGCATATTAAATAAGAACATTTTCATTGAGGATTCCTACTTGCACTAGAATTTAGCTCCAAACTTATTTAGAAAATATAAAAGAAAGCCCAATGGAGAGGAATATTCTCCAAAACACAGCAAGCAGTAATTGCAACAGTGAATGCTGTCTGTACTGAGGTAATAGCACTTTCCAAGTAAATTTTTCACACAAGAATTTAATGGTGACATTAGGGGAATATAATAGGAATTTCTCTCTTGCCAATAGCGTCTCCTTGGCAGCTATGCTAAAAAGCTTGTCAGCTGCAGCTATTCAAGTTATATACCACCCGGAAACTTTTCCTCCCTCCTCTGCAGATTATGGACACACACAGAGAGAGCCATGTTATTTTGCACCCAAAAAGCAACCAATATTGTTTTGTCACAGGCAACACCTGGGATAAGAAAACCTTTCTGAGAGCAAGCAGCCCTACATCCTTCCCCATTCTGTGAGAAAGACAATTGTTTAGTGAGCAGAAGAGACTGCAAATAAGGTACACACATATTTGTGTACACTACACAGATATTTGTGTAGTATACAATGCCAACGCTATAAGAAATGCAGAAACAACCGCCACCAGCAAACTGGAGAGGTTGCTCCACATTCTGAAACCTTGAGCAATAAGGGTTCCAGATTGTGTTACATTCACTGTATGGATGTTGGAGGCCAAGAACCATGAGGCGTAGAGGGCATCATTAGTGGCATAACTTTGCTGCCCATGTGTGGAGTGACACCGTCATGTGGGTAACGTAGCTGAGATGATTGTAGGCATTAAGGAGGCTGGAGGTCTCTATAGCATCTAGGTTTTCCTCTACGAGAGAAATGTCTCAGTCTGGCCAGAGAGATTGTTCATTACTAAACAGAGGGTATCGCTGATAGCTCTCCACACATGGTGTTACGACTGTTCCCAGTTGCCCACCAAATGTCCTTGTTGTCAATCAACATTAGATTTTTTCCATTATTCTTATTTGCTGCTTCTTTCAAATGAGCAAATGTGCCTGCTTTATCATAGCAGTAATTTTAAGGAACACTGCACATTAAAACATTGTGAAAATCACTAGAACACATTATGCCAAATCTAGTTTGATGAATAAGCTTTAGGGGAATCAGGCAGTTCCGTGTGAAGCTCTTTCCATAGCACTATCTCCCTCAAACATGCTTTTCTCTTCTTATTTGACGTGAAAGAGATGGATATGGAGAAAGTGTTCATTTAAAATTTTCAGTTTCTAGCTGCCACTTGTGGTCTATTTTTGTTTGTGTGTGTGTGTGTACGTGTATGTAGTTAATGATATCATTTTAAAAAATGAAATTGAGCTTTTTGTTAATATGTGGCTTCTGATTGGATTAATTACAACAGATACATTCTCTGGAAACTGGGGACAAAGAAATAATTTGCGTCAGCAGAAGCAGACTATATTTAAAACCTTCTGTTCACATCTCTGGAATATTACTGTTCTGTAAGTATGATATGCCCATATAGGAATAATATGAATAATAATCTTTATATATGTGGGCAGCCTCATGCAAGTAGACTTCTGCTCAGTCAAAATGACTTGCCATTATCTCTGGAACACATTTGCTGGGTGGAGATGGAATTTGTTCTACCCAAATCAGTCATGTGTATTTTTACCTACGGTAACATTCTGTTTCTATGAATTTGTGCAAATCAATACTTACAACTTATTTTGACTTGGGCATGATATAGCCATGATCTATTTTGAATCCACTGATTTCAATAAGAAGTAGAAAGAGATATGCTCTCTTCGTTTGAAATCATTAATGAATTAAAGATGCCCCTTTTGTCTTATAAGTATTTAATTTTGACTGCATCATGCCCATATTTTACACTTTGCTGTTTTTGTTCCTTAGTTGGATCCTCAACATCAAATAATAATGAAAATCAAACTCTAATCTTTGGTTGTATTTCCCAGAAAGTTGGACTTTTCTCCTTTAATATATATTTCAATCTGAGAAAACGACATCTCAGCAAAATGAAAACAAATGACAGTGCTATCGCCAACGAGACAATGTATTATTTTAAAATGTATGAAATGGTCCATGCTCTGCCCTATGACAGTTAAGTGTTCAAAATGAGACAGCTAAAAAAAAATGTAGTTAACTCGTTCAAGGAGATATGAAAGTGAGGCTCCTTTATAATGTTCATCCCTCCTATGTGTAGACAAAGAGGTACAGAGAAGAGAAAACCGTGGATTAAAATAAATGTTCTCAGTGCAGAAAATGAAATGAACGCAGCAGGCTTTGTGTCAGAAAAGACAAATACTGGGTTTTGGAGGGTTGTTTCAATGTCATTTAACGCACACACATGCACACACAGATGCCATTGGATAACATAATTAATTAAAGGTACTAACAGATGGAAGAAGAACAGTTGGAAGTGAACTGAGAAGCAAGCACTTTTGAGAACATTTGCGCCAATTGGCCTATAGGCTTCATATTCACTGGGGTTTTCCTCGTTCAAGAGTGTTCAGGATTATAGCTAATGTTTGTAATTACTCGGGAACTGTTCCTTAAGCATGTGATAGTTTTAGATCCCTTCTTACCTCCTGTTCCTCTGATAGTGATCTGTCACTCTATTGTAGACTCTTAGAAATAGAACTTGTCACACACATTGACACCCTCCATATGCCTCCAATTGTAAGATGTAAATAAATGTTTCTTTCTTTAATTAACATAGAAAGTTCACCAAGGATTTATAACAAAAAATTATTCATCTTTAACGCTTCTGAAGTTGTACTGGCAGGTCAAATGTATTAGTATAATGATCAGGCTTCAAAGAGCTCAGAGAATGAGGTCAAAGAGCCAGTGACTTACAGTAGTTTGAATAGGGTTCAAGTCTCCATTGAGCTAGGAAGTTTATTAGCTGATTTGGGGCCACTGATGGACTCTTAGACTAACAAAACTGACGGGGTTGCTGTGAGCAGAAAATGGGGAGGCGGAAACATCTGTATGCCAACCTGAGCTCTAGGGAAGAAAAAATGGAATATAAATATAATGCAGAAATAAATCTCATTGACTCCTACAAGAATCCTATAAATACAACCCAATCACTCTTGTTATTTAGAGTGCTTGTTTTGACCTGTTAAAGCTTTAAATCAGGAATAGGTGAGGTTTGGTTGGATGGGAAGATGGCTCAGCTGGCTAGAGTGTGTTGCTAATGATGCCAAGGTTGCAGGTTCAATCCCTGTATGGGGCCATTGCATATTCCTGAATTGCAGGAGGTTGGACTAGATGATCCTCAGGGTCCCTTCTAACTCTATAGTTCTATAAACATCCCTGACTATTGGCCATGCTGGCTGGGCTGATGAAAATTGGAGTCCAGCAGGCGTCTAAAAGAGTGACAGGCATTCAGGAGTACACGTGGTGCCGCACTAAAGGGAAGATTCCTCAAAAATGCAGCAGAGACACTGTGTGGCACTTAGAGAAATGCATGTTTTGTAGACTGAAGTGGCTGAGTCGGCTCTTATGGGGTCAAACCATATAGTGAAGTGAGATCACGACAGAGGTGAGATTTGAGGTGAGTCTGTTAGCCTCAGTTCTGCTCTTTGTATGGCATCACATTCCAGTCAATTATTCATTCTGTGATTCCTTTGTAACAAACTATCACAAACTTTGCTAATCCCCACTCTCTCCTGAAGTGTAATATACTTATGGATAATCCCCCATTTGTTTTGGCTGTAAGTTTCTCTAGCAGAAATAAAACGTTGCTTCTGCTGCTGAATTGGAAGACTGTTTGAAAGCACGTAACACAAAGAACCAGCATTTTGTTTAAAAACGGCACATGGAGTGCTAGATTCTGCACTCTCTGAAGCCAGTTATGCTTCTTATGAAGTCTATAGGAACAAGGAGTGAAGTAGTGAGGAGTTTAAGTCAGACGTCTAAAGGGCCAAATATTTATTTTGATTTCCCAAGTTGTGGATATGAGATCCCAGAATACAGACTGGGCTATTCAGTTGAGCAAAACGTGGCAGTTTATATGTGGAAAGGAATAGGATCCCCACTGTTTGCCATGCCTATGATCTTGATCTGTGTTATTCTACCCAGATCCTATGTTAGTGCAAATGATTTGCATGTAACATCTTCTTTGTGCTTTATCTGGAACCCTGCAAAATGCAGAAGTCCCTGCATGGAGATCCTATATTCCTGAACTCCCTGTACACAGAACCATCCAAGAGAGCTGGATCCATAGCTGTCAACATTTCCTTTTTTTTATGGGAAATTCCCTTATTCCGAATAGGATTCCTGGCAAGAAAAGGGAAAAGTTGACAGCTATGGCTGGATCAGTGTATGGTTAGGTTTAGGGCCAGCAGGAATGACCTTAACCCTCCTCCATGATTGACCACCCCCTGTTTGGCTGACGGCTAGTTTAGGCATTCTATCAAAACCGTCTGCCACTGTTAGATAAGCTGAAGGTATGAAACTGTTCCAATTTACAATGGTCTATTCCAGTCCACGGCTGTTTGGCTCATTTCCCTGTATCGACATTCCTCCTAGAAATGGGACTTTCCATATTTTTCTGGAATTCCTATTTCACCTAAACTGAAATCCAGGTCACATAAAAACATGAGAAGAATTTGAGGGACAGGAAAACAGCTTCAATAATTTCTAGAGTGTTTTTTGCATATATTTAGGCTGTGAAATTTACTTTATAGGAGAAATATTTGACAAATTTTGAGTGAAACCAGAATATCTTTTTTGTGGGACACTGGAATAGCTGGTACTCCAAACAACTCATGGCTGTAAACCAGAATCTTCTTCCTGAGTCAGAGGTTCTCAACAAAGCCTTGCTAAAGTGAAATTTCAAGATAGGATTGTACTTCTCTTATTGTCCATTGGCATGCGTGTAGTTCTCAGACACATTTAGTTAGTTAGTTCATAAAATTTATATACTGCTTGATTGTAAAAAAACAAACAAACCTTGAAGTGGTTTACAAAAAAAAATCATACAAAAGTTAAAATACTAAAACAGATTAAAATTACCTCGTTTCTAAGCTCCTATGTCCACTAAATTGCTGTATAACTCAAATTATATGACTTTTCTGCATTGTTTTGATGAGTGACAGTCTTTGTCATTATGGGGAAGTATATAATATCCTTGAACTGACTCCATCTTTTGTCATTCTCCTCTAACATGTCTGTTCAGAGATTATTATTTTTTTAAAAATCAGCACTACAAATTTATCTTGTATTCATTTTCATATCCCCAGCACTAAGACTTACCTTTTGTCCCCCTTAGCATAGCTGGGCATTGTTCTTTGCTATTCAGTGGATATTGCCACCAGCAGTAATGCTATGCAATATAATGAGAATGAAATGTGCCTGTTAAAATTAGCAATGCCTCTGCTTTGGGCTAAAAATGTAGGCAGCTTCAAACCTTGATAGCAAGTGAAGGGTGAAGACATTCTTTCTGTCTCCTAAGTTTTTGTCATCATGTAATAGTAGTGGAGCATAGTAATAAAATAGTTGCAGGTAATGGGTAATTTCCTTTTAAGTAATTTCCTGCTTACATCCATATGAATCCTCCAGAAATGAACTGCGACAGTAATCGAGCATTATGTTACATCAGCTGCTGCAGAGAGAATAATGATAAGTTTTCGTGCAACTTAACAGGGATTCCATTGGCCTTTTAAAACCTCCATCAAAATACAAGCAAAGCTTCTATTACTTATATATTAAAAAATGCTACAGAATTAAGGAGTCAGACATTTTGTTATGTGTTGTATGTTCTGTAAAAAAGTATGTATGCTTAATATCCATATAGTTAAAGGTCTGTATAGTTAAAGCCATGGTTTTCCCAGTAGTGATGTGTGGAAGTGAGAGCTGGACCATAAAGAAGGCTGAGCGCCGAAGAATTGATGCTTTTGAATTATGGCGCTGGAGGAGACTCTTTTTTTATTTTATTTTAATGTTTTTTATTTATACAACAAGAAAAAAACAACACAAATACCAAATTACACACAAATTACAAAAATAACCATAGGCACATAATTTTCTTAGCAAACAATAAAACATCTATTGGTCTTGACACTAAAGACCCAACCTCCCGTCTATTCCATATTTCAAATTCATATTACTTTTTGCCAATACACACTTTTAACATAATTTAACTTATTCTCAATAAATCTAATTTCTTATATCTACCTTGCAATTATTACTGAAGTTCCTCGAATGCTGCAACAGAATTTAAACTACTATATTTATTTTTCAGATAATCTTTGAAAACCTCCCATTTTGAAACAAATTCCTGTTTTGATTTGTTCTTTAATTTTTCTGATAAACCATCTAATTCGGCATATTCTGTCAGCTTTTGGATCCAATCTTGTATAGAGGGGATTTCATTACTCTTCCATTTTGCTGCGATCAAAACTCTTGCTGCTGCCGTCGCATATAAAAAGATACCCTTCCTCTTTTGTGGAATATCCAAATCTGTTATTCCCAGGAGGTAGGCCTCTGGTTTTTTGTTGAAAGAGATCTTTAGCATTTTTTGCAGTTCTGCATGGATACTTGGAGGAGACTCTTGAGAGTCCCATGGACTGCAAGAAGACCAAACCTATCCATTCTGAAGGAAATCAGCCCTGAGTGCTCATTGGAAGGACAGATCCTGAAGCTGAGGCTCCAATACTTTGGCCACCTCATGAGAAGAGAAGACTCCCTGGAAAAGACCCTGATGTTGGGAAAGATGGAGGGCACAAGGAGAAGGGGACAACAGAGGACGAGATGGTTGGACAGTGTTCTCGAAGCTACTAACATGAGTTTGACAAAACTATGGGAGGCAGTGGAAGACAGGAGTGCCTGGCATGCTCTGGTCCATGGGGTCACAAAGAGTCGGACACGACTAAACGACTAAACAACAACAATGCTTAATATTAAAAAACCATTAAAATATTGCCCGACTAAAGTAGCACAGGAAGAATCATCTGGATTCACCTCAAAATAACTTTAGCCATGACTTTAAGCTACATAATCATCTATCTTTAAATCAGTTGACATATGTCTCACTTCTTTCAATAGCAAAATGTACTATCTTATATCACAATCTGAAGAACACCATGTGCAAATATAAATTCCCTTGATTTCAGAGGTACTCCCCTTCAAAGCAGTGAATTTAGGGCAGGCCTGCATAATTTATGCCCACCAAACTGAGCTCTCTCTCTATCCCTCTGTCAGTAACATGTTCCATCACAGTCTTTAGGGGAACAATCCTAAATTCCTGGGATGAGCTGCTCAGGGTCCATAGAATAACATGGAACTCCCTCACTATAGTCAGAGAGGGAGACCTACAGTCAGAGAAGGAGGCTTGCCACCTGAGTCCTCCTCTGGTGGAAAGTTTCATTATCAGTGCTTCAATGTCAAGTGAGG